GCTGCATGTTGGTCATAACATCAGAAAGGGCCTTTTGGCATTCGACTCCTGGTTGCCATTTTCAGGGGCAGCTGCATGTTGGTCATAACATCAGAAAGGGCCTTTTGGCATTCGACTCCTGGTTGCCATTTTCAGGGGCAGCTGCATGTTGGTCATAACATCAGAAAGGGCCTTTTGGCATTCGACTCCTGGTTGCCATTTTCAACGGCAGCTGTGTGTTAATCATAACATCTGGCTTAGGTTTGTCAAGAGCCATTTTTCCTCGTCATTTCATAAGAATTGTATGTGACTGAACAAGGAAGATTTGCTAAAGTGGAACAGTTGACGTTAATTTTTGTTCACAGGCCATGCATGTGTCACAGATTACTAACAACTTATTTGGCTAGCAGACTAGTAAATTCTGGGTTGCGGCCTTAGAACCTTTTGTGACTTTATAGACAAAATTGGTCTCTAGCATGGTTGCATTTGGAGTCTTATGGGCAATTCCCAGGACCCCGTCTCAACAGTGATCTTGCAGAACTGGAAAAGGGTAACCAGAATGACCAAAGGTTATTTTTATTTATGTAGTAGATTTTTTTAGTTACCACTCATAGAATCCTAGACTCAGAGTTGGAAGGGGCCATACAGGCCATCTAGTCCAACCCTGTGGTCAATGCAGGATCAGCCTAGAGCATCCATGACAAGGAAAATGCCCTTTCTTCATACGGAAAGTGTTCCAACCCTTTAGAATGATAAAAGGGTTGGAACACTTTCCCTATGATTAAAATGCTTGGGGCTCTTTAGCTTGGAGAAATGACGGCTGAGGGGTGACATGATCGAGGTTTATAAGATGATGCCTGGGATAGAGCAGGTTGAGAAAGAAGTACTACTCTCCCTTTCTCACAATACAAGAACTCGTGGGCACTCCACGAAATTGCTGAGTGGCCAGGTTAGAACGGATAAAAGGAAGTCCTTCTTCACCCAAAGAGTGATTAACCCCTGGAATTCACTGCCACAGGAGGTGGTGGCGGCTACAAGCATGGACGGCTTCAAGAGGGAATTGGATAAACATCTGGAGCAGAGGTCCATCGGTGGCTATTAGCCACAAGGTATAGATAGGAACTCTCAGGCAAGTGATGTTCTTGGTGTTTGGGGGGGGGGAAACGGTGGGAGGGCTTCTAGTGTCTTGGCCCCACTGCTGGACCTCATGGTGGCACCTGGTATTTGTGGTCACTGTGTGACAGAGTGTTGGACTGGATAGGCCATTAGCCTGATCCGACATTGGCTTCTCTTCTGTGCTTATGTATTTCTCCAGCCGCTGCTTCAAGACGGCCATGGAGGGGGAAGTTCACCACCTCCCGAGGCAGCTGATTCCACTGTTTCACAACTCTGACTGTCAAAAGGTTTTTCCTAAGATCCACCTGGTACCATCTGGTAGAGACATCACCCTGCCAACAAAAGTCCGTACAGTCAAAGCGATGGTATTCCCAGTAGTCATGTATGGCTGCAAGACTTGGACCATAAGGAAGGCCGAGCACCGAAGAATAGATGCTTTCAAATTATGGTGCTGGAGGAGACTCTTAAGAACATAAGAACATAAGAGACGCCAATGTTGGATCAGGCCAAAGGCCCATCCCGTCCAACACTCTGTGTCACACAGTGGCCAGAAATACCAGTGCCATCAGGAGGTCCACAGCAGTGGGGCCAGGACATTAGAAGCCCTCCCACCGTTGACCACCCCAAGCACCAAGATGACAGAGCATCGCTTGCCCCAGAGCCCCTATCTATACCTTGTGGCTAATAGCCACTGATGGACCTCTGCTCCATATGCTTATCTAATTCCCTTTTGAAGCCATCCATGCTTGTAGCTGCCACCACTTCCTATGGCAGTGAATTCCATGTTGAGAGTTTTTTGGACTGCCTGGAGATCAGATCAGTCAATCCTAAAAGAAATTAGCCCTGACTGTTCCCTGGAAGGCCAGATAATGAAACTGAAGCTCAAATACTCTGGCCACCCAATGAGAAGGGAGCACTCACTGGAGAAGACCCTGATGCTGGGAAAGACTGAAGGTCAAAGAAGACGGGGACGGCAAAGGATGAGATGGTTGGACAGTGTCAAAGATGCAACGAACATGAAATTGAGCAAACTCCGGAGGACAACGGAAGACAGGAGGGCCGGGCATGAAGTGGCCTATGGGGTCGCAAAGAGTCGGACTCGACTGTGCGACTAAACAACAACAACAACAACCTTCCCCACTCTTAATTTAAACCCGAAGGGTCTCGTGGCGATTTACAACATTAAAACCAATGAGGTAAAAGCAACATAAAAACACTTAACAAATGTAAAACACTAACATTCAAATATCAGAAGAAGAAGAAAGGAAGAGGAGGAGGAGGAGACTGGATTTATACCCTGCCATTCACTCAGCGTCTCAGAGCAGCTTACAGTCTCTTTTCCCTTCCCCTCCCCCACAACAGACACCCTGGAAGGTAGGTGGGGCTGAGAGAGCTCTCTCGAGGACTGCTCTTTCAAGGACAGCTCTTGTCAGAGCTATGGCTTGCCCATGGTCACCCAGCAGCTGCATGTGTAGGAATGGGGGAATCAATCCCGGTTCTCTGAGATTAGAGTCCGTGTACTTAACCACTACACCAAACTGCCGCTGGCTCACCCTTCCACTATTAAAACAGCTTGGACATGTGGAGACCCTCCAAAGACCAACCTAAGCAATTCTGCTTGGCATGCCCTGCAGAAACTAAAGGAGTCCGGCAGGGTGTGGATGTCATCCCAGAATGCATTCCACAGGGTAGGGGCCACAGCCGAGAAGGCCCTTCCCCTGGTGGCAGCTAACCGCTCCATCCTGGGGCCGGGCCCCTGCAAAAGGCCTCTAGACGATGACTGAAGGGAGTGTGGGAGGCCAGTTTGGTGTAGTGGTTAAGTGCGCGGAGGAGAGTTGGTCCTGTAGTCCCAGGCCATGAAGTGCTTTAGGAGCACCTTCCTTAGGAAGAAAGGCTAAAGAGTTCAGTGTTCTTGAAAAAAAGGCAAGAGGGAAAGTACAGAGGTTCATAGTATCGGCGTGTTGTGGAGAAAGCAGACAGCACGGATCCTCTCCTCCACTCTCGTGTACCTAGAACTGGAGACCATAGAATGGGGTGGAGTTGATCTGGGTAGCATCAAGGCGAACCAAAGAAAGTACGTCATTACTGAAGCTCAGCTAACTTGTGGAACTCCCTGCCACAAGATGGGGTGAAGAAGACCGCCAGTGAAAATCACTCTGAGAGGGGGATTAGGCAAACTCATGGAGGCCAGGTCCATCAATGGCCGTGATTCTCCAGTGGATGTCTTCAAGCAGAGGCTGGAGGGCCACGTGGGGGGTGCTGCAGTTGTGTCGTCTCGCGCTGAGCAGAGGGTTGGACTAGATGACCTCTATGACCCCTTCCAGTTTGGTCTAGTAGTAAGGAGCACGGACTCTAATCTGGGAGCACCGGGTTTTGATTCCCCACCTCTCCACATGCAGTTGCTGGTGCGACCTTGGGTCAGTCACCAGTTCTCTCAGAGCTGTTCTCTCAAGGGAAGTTCTCGAGAGAGCTCCCTCAGCCCCACCTACCTCACAGGGTATCTGTTGTGGGGAGGGGAAGGGAAAGAAGATTGTGAACCACTCTCAGTCTCCTTTGTCGTCGTCATCTTCTTCTTCATAGAATGTTAGAGTTGGAAGGGACCTTGCAGGTCATCT